AATTTTAAGCATTTTGTGTGATTAAACTTGTCATTTTTTCCTTTACAATTATTTTGTTATTTTGTTTAAAAACTCTTTACCTTTCTCAACAATTATTTTACACCATATTTTCTTTGAAAATGTTTAAAGATTAACTTCACTCATGCTTATTTATGTTGCTTTTATTTTGGTATATATTGTGAGCTAAGGATCTAACTTTATTTTATTTTGCATAAAGATAATCTCTGTCATGCATCACATTTCTGTGTCTTATATGCATGTATCTGTTACCCAGCTCTGTTGTGACCAAATGCTCTGCTTTTCTATTCTAATGCTGAATTATTCTTAGCTCCTACAGCTTCTAGGAGTCTTATACATTCGTGATGAATTCTTGAGCTCATTCTCCCACTTCACGATTTTTTTAAAGTTATGCTTAGGGGCTGGGGATTTAGCTCAGCGGCAAAGCGCCTGCCTGGCAAGCGCAAGGTCGTGAGTTCGGTTCCCGGTACCGGAGAAAAAAAAAAAAAAAAAAAAAAAAAGTTATGCTTAGCCCTTTGATCTTCCCTATGAATTTGAGATCAATTTCAATGAGACTTGATGAGACTGTAGAGTACTTTGTGGAAAACCAGGACGTTTTGACCCTCCTTTATCATATATAAACGTATGATATCTCTCCATTTATTCAGTCTTTCTATATTTCAAAATAGCTCTGTAGCTCTCTCTATAAAATCCTATGTATTTTAAAAGATATTTATTTATTCAGTTTTATTTGTGGTTAAGAACAGGATTTTTCAATTGCAATTAAAAATTGATTGCACTGTTTTATACTATTTTAATGCTGATATTATAAACAGAAATGTTCATATACTCTCATTATCCCCCATTGTTGGGTTTGTAGATCCTCCTGGGGTTTCTACTATATATATTTCTTTTAAAATTTAATGTATTAAACATAATCAAATTTATATTTAAATAGTTTTAAATATATAATACACCTTATATAATTAAATTTGCATTTGAATATATTTAAATATATAAATATATCTTATAAATGTTTAAGTATATTTAAATATATAAATATATCTTATAAATGTTTAAATATATATAAATATTTATATTTAATATTCATTTTTATTTTTCATATGAAATATATATTAAATTTTAAAGAGCAAATAAAAATTATTTTATATATATTATTTTTAAATATATATATTGCTTTATTTTCTAGATAGTCACAAGAATATTTCTAAAGTTTCTCCATTTTGCAACATCTTTGTTGAATATCTTTAAATTTACACTGTTTATCTAGTTAAATCTGACCAGCTCAATTTGATAAGCAAGTTTTAAGAAATATTTATTGAGTGATCACTATCTACAGACATCTTACAGGTGGGATTTTGTAATAACTCGTTTTCTAAAAGAGGCTGTCATGACCTACTAGTAGGTTAAACGAACCATCATTTCCAGCATCTTCAATATTTTACCTTATATTAAATATTATTTTTATTATTTGTTTTGAATATATGAACATGCATGCATATATGTGACTTTTATTGAATTCTGGTTCTTCTGGTAGACTTGTAAATTTCTCCCCAAAAGCCTAGTTTTTAAAGCATTATTCTAAGTTGATCCTTAAAGCACTTAGAGCCAGGTGACAGGTGACTTCAGCTGATACTGATATATGGACAAATTTAAGACCTTTGTAGCTACCTCAAGCTAGAATGCAGACTACTGAATAAAAATAATCTTACTGCATTTAGCTGCTCCTCCGTATGCGAGTTGTGGGTGGAGAAAACATCACCATTCTATTCGCCATTTAATTGTGTCACAGGCCTCCCACTTGTAAAAAAATTATTTTATTCTAAAGAATTCCTTCAAAACTGATTTGCCTTTTATTTGCCTTTGTTTGTATTTGTCATTATTATATTAATTAATTTATTCTTTGCTTTTCACGGACAGATGGGTTTTATGGACTTGTTCCTAGTACACCAGTATCTCCCAGGGGAAATAGGGTCTTCTAAGAGTTAAATTCAAATAATGACGACCTTGAAATAGAACTCTCTAGAAAGTTAAAGGAGCATTTTGCTATAAGTAATTTTCCACTGAGATATCTGTTCCTCTCAGTGAGGCTAAAAGAGTTCGTCCTATCACTATCCTTTTAAAACCGTTCGTTTCCAGCTAACTTTAATTAACTTGATAAGCTATTACCTAATTTTGAACAGGGTAGGTTTCCATTTGTTTTTTGTTTTAAATTCCAATAATTATAATAATCCAGGTGAGAAAGGTCTGAGTAGGCAGAAATTTGTAGATATAGGAGATGAAGGTTTTGACATGCACTTATTACTAATACCAAGGAGGGGTAGACAGGCGTTCATTTTTAGTTACAACCCGTTGTCTAGGATGATTTTGGGCTAAGATCTATAGAACCCTTGAGTGTTGACAGAAGTCTTTATGATCACCTTAAATCCAGAAGGTACTACTACACATCAATGGAGAAAAAGAAAAGTCACTGGCCTCTGATAGAAAAAAGTAACCTAAAGCAAGTTAATCCATTTAAAATACAAATACAAATTTCTCAATTGTTAAACTGAGGTTAAATAAAAAGAGCCTATGGGGGCTGGAGATTTAGCTCAGCGGCAAAAGCGCCTGCCTGGCAAGCGTAAGGTCGTGAGTTCGGTTCCCAGTACTGGAGAAAAACCAAAAAACCAAAAAAAAAAAAGAGCCTATGACAACAAGTCTGTGAATGCAATCAACCTGCAAATGATATTATTAAAATGTCACAGTGATAAAAATTGAGAAAGTTGAAAGATTATTTGTCTTGGTTAGGAAAATAGCAATAATCTAATCGCTTTGGAGTCACACCCACAAGACTATATTTAAGCTTCACCCAGCAAGCTATATTTATTTACTGGAATATATCCACTTCATCCAGGGTGTTTACCTCAGCCCACAACATACCCAGTCAGTGCACAAAGAATGAAACTACAGTCTGTTTTAAAATATGTTTCTAGATGTAATTTTTAGAGATATGATACCCTATAAGCAAAGACGATTTCCTGATAATTTTAGTATAAGATCAAGTGTGACGACAAAATATACATATGCGATGAAATTTTCAGTATGTACATGCTATGAAATTTTTTCAAGAACATCTGTCATGACTGTTTCCCTACTGTTACCGATGTTTAGCCACCATTAAATGGCAGCTTCTTTAGCTTCCCCCACTGTTTCATACTGAAGTAATTTATAATTTAAATAACGGTCTAATATGTAGCTTATTGTTAAAACTAATTTAATTAATATTATTTAAATCTTTGATGCCAGCCTTCGGTCCTGCAGGGCCAGTACTATTCCCTACCCCTAACATTATGCCACCCTTCCCCTGTGACAATAAGTGCAATTTTAATATGATATTTTCTATATTTCTGAACATATCTAATTACATAATTTACCAAATGTCATAATGAGTACTGTCTATCAAAATACAGCATATGCCCTGCCCCTCAATGACTGTCCGATTTGGTTTATAGTACATCAGAAATGAAGACATATGCTTGACTGCAAAAGCAATGCTAATTTTTAATTTAATAACCTAAATTATCTGAAGTACCCATAACACTATTCCAACTAATATAGTTCAGCATTTAGTAGGTTGAAATATTTATGTTTTCCAAGGGCTTGCTGTTGTTATTGTTGCTGTTGTTGCTCTAGATTAACTAACCAAGGCTAGGTATTTTATTTTTCTATGAACTGAATGTAAATACATCTGTGTTGTATAATTAGGTTGATGATAATAAACATTTCACAGGAAACATCAGATATTTAAAATAGCTATTTTAAGTCAACTATTCTATTGAAATATACATATAGGAGGTCTCTGAAACACACGCATCAAATATAAAGATTTTACAAAGGACCTACACATGTAACCCAGACCAAATAATACCATAAAATAGGCACTTTTTAACCTGGTTTTACTCCAGTATCAAAAGGTACTTTATATGATATTTTTTATATAAAATGTCTAATGTGAATTTTATTTATTTTTTCATTCTGAAAAACACACTGAATACTCACCATTTTACTAAAAAACAAAAGTGTGTCCAGTGACAGAATATGTTATATGCAAATGTCTTAGGATTTTAAAATGGTTTTTACTGTTAATTTTATTTATTCCTTCAAAAATAACCTTATAATTCTTTATGGAGTGATTATGGTAACGGTTGAAGAACAAGAGAGCGCTGTCTTGGTAAAACTTTGCTGTTTTATTTTTATATTAAACTTCCAAATGATATCAGCATAGCTCAAAGGAGAATTCTTTCCTCCCCTGCACAGAGCCAGTATTAAGCCTGCCACTTGCAAACACTGCGTCCACTGTACCTCAATCCAGTGAGATATTTCCGTGTCTCATGGTCAGAGGGAGGCAGATTAATAGGAAGTTCTAGCTGGAAATTTCTTCCCTGTTATTGTTCCCCCTCTACAGTTGATGGCTAAGTTAATTCTCTTTAGTTTTGTCACGCTCTAAAGCACACATTGCCAAGCCATGGTAAGCTTTATGAGGGGAAAAAAAAGAGGAGAAATGGTGTCCATCAAAGTCTTAAAGTTGCATTTTTAAACTTTGGCTTGACCTGATGTGCCATTCAAAAAAGCTTCAAAAGATTATTTTTTAGAGAAAGGTTCAATATGTCCCGAGGCTATCGGTTTTGAGTTAAACTGGGTGAAGTAGAAATATTTTACTCATCAGCTTTGCAGTCACAGAGTTTGCCTCAGCTAGAACAAAACTGCTGAGGCATTTAGAGAAAATTAACCCCCCATCCTGGCGGCCAGATGTGACTGGTTTCTGATGAATGCACATGAGTGGGCTGAAAAATCAAGAGACTGTGAAATTCCTGTCAGGTCCGTACAGTGCAGAATGGGCCATTGACTGCTTTCTATATTTCCCTCCATCATTCTTCTTGAACACTGCCATTAATTTCCTCTCCTACTCTGACTTGTGTTTTTCCCCTCCCTCTTGCCTCTAGTTCTGTCAGCTGCAAAGAAATCTACAGGAGCAGTGGCAGGAGCACTTCCGGCTGGTGGTCCTCTTCAGCCAGATGAAGCTGGCCAAGTTCCAGACAGACTCTCAGGAGACTATTCAGAAAATATTAGCTGTGCAGGTAGGTGATTGCAGGGAAGTAGGAAAGATCATTCTGATCTAGATTGAAAAGCAAATGATGGGTAGTGTGATGAAGCATTAAAACCATATCCCATCAGAGTTTTATAAATTTTTAACCTCTTTAATAAACTGGGATTGCATGAAGGATGAATTCAGTAAGTTAGCACATATACTATGCATATTTTGGGGGAAAAAAGAGAGCAGACTTATTTCTTCTCACAAATCTCAGGATGGATTTTTATAAATATCCTTGGTATAAATGTATTTTGTCAAATGTTCAGGCTTTGCAGTTGCTATTCGGCTGTTTAAAAGATGTCCATAACACTTACCCTGCAATGCTGTTGTGGAAAATCTGCTTCAGTGAAAATAACCCTCTTATGTTTATGTTATTTAGCTATTGTCTTCCCCTTCCTATTTTTCAGGAGGCTTGTCCTCCCAAGCAGATTTGGAGGTGACTAGCTGAAAAATAAGCCACTTTCGGCTAGAAAGTAACTTGCGACTCTAGGTGTACGTGACCTTTTACTACCTGTGCTTATCTCTGTAAAAAAACATTTAGTGGATCAATTGTCTTTGAGACTTTGAAATAATTGAGAATTCCATGTTAATTTTGTGAAGACCACCACTGGACTATTACTTAAAATTGCTTTCAGTTAATGTTTTACCATTTCAGATGTTACCATATATGTTAAATATGATGTCCCAAGCAAATACACACACACACACACACACACACAACATTTTTTCTATTAAAAGGAAAATCAGAGGGGCTGGGGATTTAGCTCAGCGGCAAAGCGCCTGCCTGGCAAGCGCAAGGTCGTGAGTTTGGTTCCCGGTACGGGAGAAAAACCAAAAAAAAAAAAAAAAAGGAAAATCAGAATGCTCTTTCCATGAAAAACAAAAATAATGCCTTCTGAAACTACAATGTCAGTAAGTCACAGCAAAAGTAAGCAAGGCTGAACCCCACACCACGTCTTTTCTTTAAACATTTAGTTGCACATCACATTTCTTTTACCACAGTAAAGAAACATTTTGCAGAGCATTTCCAAACCTACTAATCTATTTCAAATTTCATTTCTGCTGATATCTAGTCCTAGGATTTTCTTCTGAGGAGTATGTATGTATGCATGTAGATGTTTGTGTGTCTGATTTATGTACAGCTTCTGTTGATAACAGTTTAAAACAAAGTATTAAAATAATAGGAGAAAACTAAAGGTAAGTTATAAAAAGGCAGTATGTATCATATCTAGCCTAACAGAAATATATATACAAACCGGAATACAAACCACAATTGCATTAGTTTGGAAGTCAGGAGCATCCTGTCTTCCTTAAGAAGTCCATTAACACATAGTACACTAAAAATTATGGGAACTCCCGGATTTGGTGGCACGAGCCTATAAAACTAGCATGAGGATCACAAGTTCAAGGTCAGCCTGGGCTATATATCCTTAGCTATATGGTAAGGTAGAGGTCAACCTGGTCTATGTAGCAGGACCTTGTCTCAAAATCAAACAAAACAAAATTATAGTGTACCTATGATCTGTGATTCTGTTTTAGGTATTCAGATGTTACCTGTATGTTCTAATTAGTGTCTTAGAAAATGTCAAAATGCTAAATATCTTACAAATGGTAAATTCTTACTCTGAGTCACAATATACTTTTTTCAAACATCAGAAAGCCATTTGGATATCCATAAAGTGAATTCCTAATTTAAAACCTTCCATAATCTGTATTTTAATTTTTGATTAGAAATTCTGTCTTTCACCGAAACTTGATTTTAAATGGTTTCTCTGTATGGCTGTTGCACACTGTGAAAACGAAGAGGCAGGAACAGGCAGGGACTGACCTAACTACTCAGCACCAAGAGATGCAGCAGCAAGCTTCCATTGTATCTAGGAAACTCAAAGAGAATTGATTAGTGGTTGCTTTGATTAGCTGTGGGAGACATCTTCAGTTTAGTGTCTTTCAACTCTAGCCTTTAAATAACAATGTGAAAATATAACTTTTGGGATCACACCACAAAACTATGGAAAGGTGTAATCCTCTAGTGAAGAAAAATCAAATCTGAAACCTTCTGCACTGTACACCGTGGCCTCCTTGACCAGCTCCTGCTAACTTTCCCACCTTCATCTCCTGCCATCTGTCTCAGCCACTCCAGAATTCTGAGTCATGGAACTTGCTGCTCGAACTGCTCTCCCCTCCTGTGCTCGCACTCTTCCTTCAGCAGTACTCTTCTTTGTCTTAGCTGTTTAATAACACCTGACTCAATCCAATCACATAATCTGCAGTTTCCAGGTCTTTTCCCAACCTAGTTCTGCCACACACATTTATTTTTGCCTCTTTTATCTCTTACTGGACCCTAGACATGCTATTTTACTGCAGTTGTATTTTCAGCTGTTAACTCGCCAAGCTTGTTGCTGTACCCTCCTTTCTAGAAGTTTCTAAGCTCTTTCTGACCTTTATACTATCAGAGAAATCCATTTGCTTCTCCCTTAGTTGTTTTAAGGGCATATAATAGCTAGGTGGATAAGGAGGTTAGGTAGCTCTAAGTGCTTTTCTACTTTTCCTTTATTATCTTCAATTTTTTAAAAGGAAAACATGGTAGTAAGTTAATATATTTGGGGATTCTCTGGGTATCAGTGAATACAGCTTGATTCCAAGTGGCTAAACATTGCTTAGCAGACCAAATGTATTGCTGCCCATTTCCAAATGATTTTCTCTTGGAATTTCTTTAAGTGTCAATGATTTGGGAATTTCAATAATATAACTTAAATTTTATATCTTGAAGCAAGTATTACCATAATGCCATTAGATATTAGTAAACTATTAGGTGAAAAAATTAGTTGATGAACCTCCTGAAAACTTGTTTACATATAACAGATTATAGAGTAAAAGCAATATAAATAAATGTTAAGCCAAAAAAATCAGCTTCGCTTCGACCCTGGATTTAAAGCCTTGGAGCAGTTCTTTGCAGGCCCAGAAACAGGCAGTGATTACACATCTGTAGCTGACAGAAGCTCAGGTAGACCATATAGACATGTGAGTTACGCGATCAAGCAGAAACCAATAAGATGAACGATAATCGGGATAAAGAATTTGCATGTTTTACTTTGAAACCACTTATATGAGAAAAATTTGGTGACATCAGTTGACCACAATTTTAATATGAGCCAAAGTAAACTATTACAAAGTTGGAGCCAAAATTATGTCCTTGCTATAGCAATCATTTAAGACTTCCTGCCTCTCTCAGTAAATGGTATGTTTAGTGCTATTATTATTTAATTTTTACTATCGTTTTTCTTTTTTGTTTTCAATTTCATTTTTATTATCATTTTTCTTTTTCTTTTCCATTTTATTTAACCTTGTAATGTCTAATACCTTTCTGGTACTGTATTTGGGGGAAAAACTAAGCACTAGAATCATTCAAATGAAACCGGGTGATGCACCTAAAACAGATTAATGTCATCTTAGACTATGTAGGCAAAGATCTTTTTGTGTAGAAGGAGATGATACATCCCATTGCATTTTTTCTTAAACTTGAATACATCTGAAGTATTTTTGTTGTTGTTGTTGTTTTTTGGTTTTTTCTCCGGTACCGGGAACCGAACTCACGACCTTGCGCTTGCCAGGCAGGCGCTTTTGCCGCTGAGCTAAATCCCCAGCCCCCATCTGAAGTATTGATATAGTTTGAACAGTGAATTTGAACAGTGTAGTTTAAGGACCATACTGACATTTTAGAGAACACAAATTTAAGAAAGAATGGGCAGAGAAGAAATAGAGAATATTTGGAATGCTCAGCCATAACATTCTAAGTTAACATTTGGAAAGACAAATATCTGAACCACAGCAACAAAAATCAACATATATTTTGATGGGCTCTAGGTGCAAATACTGGGAGCAAAGGATGGAAAAGGTGAAAAAGTTGGGTTTGGGCTCAGTAGGATCAGTGATCTACCAAGCATGGCCTTCCAAGCATGCACCAATGGTGCTCAACAGAAAGTAGAAAAACATAGGCCAGGTGCCTTGGGAAGAAGATGATGCATTGCTCAAGGGAAAGCGAACAATCTGAGAGTCAGCCCAGGGGCACCTCCTCAGCCTTGTGCTCCTAGAATGTTCCCATGACTTCTTTGCCCACACACGTCTGGCTGCATCTGTACCTACTCACCTGCTAGCATGTTAGCCCTTGCACGTTGAAATTATATGTTTTTTCTTCATTTTTGTCTTCCTGAAAACATTTACATTGTTGTAGCATAATAAGCACAAAAATTGTGTTCAATTAGTGAATTGATTTATTAGTGACCTCAAAGGTTCTTTCCAGGTTGAGGCACTCATGCTTTTATAGGTTAACAAATAAAAACATTCACTAGTTGCTTTACGAGGAATTCTTACAGCATAGAAGCAACGTAGTCAATCATTTGATATGGCCTTACACACACACACACACACACACACACACACACACACAATTTACACATAGGGACAGCCCGATTTCCTATAGTATTTGGAAGGTAATGGGGCAAATGAAAGAAAGCCAGAAATATCAAGACTAAAATTCAAATTTTAGTGTGATTTTTTTGAAGACAGAATAATAGTATGCTTTTTGGAATATATGAATATATATTTAAAGATAATATGCTTGAACACTATATGTATATACATTTAAAATAATATGTGGAGCAATAACATTAAATTGCTAAATCTTACGAATTCTAAGTAATAACAGCAATGACATTTAAATATAGTTGCAATACTTTAAGAATATCTACTGGAAATGTAGAGATAAAATGTATCACCCTGAAACTACTGGAAGAAAAATATAGTACCATAAAAACTGAGTAATTGAACATACAAGAAAAAAGAAAGAAAAATATTAAATATATAAAATAAGGACAGTTATTAGCAATTATAACAGCTGCAAATATCCAAACGTGATAGAACACCCTTGTAATCTCAGCACTCAAGAAGCTGACAAAAGAAGATAGTCATGAGTTTGAGGCCAATTTG